CACGATACTTTCCGATCTGTCCATCTCCTCTCTTTGTTCCGTTGAAATAATTGAAGAGCTGATGGCTGGTAACTTGCTGGTCACCTGGCAGGAATATGTTTGCAAGTGTTGCTGCTGATTTGTACATTGAATTGCCGGAGTGACGTGGCCTCGAGTAGTCTTTCCCAGCAATGAACTGAAGAGTAGCATGCGTATTGAATTCTCTTGTTGCTGATTCATCGGTCCCTCTCCATGACACCGGACTAGACTGAACTACTGGCGTCCCTTCATCGGCCTGCTTTTTGCCTCAAACTTCAGGAGTCTTGAAACCTGGACCCAACATAACAAAAGTGGGACTCAATTGCGCAGTTCAGACGATAAATTGATGCAATAAGGAGTCATTGCAAAGGTGTTTAGTCATCCCTGAAACAAACATCATTCATTTCGTACTCGGACAACCTCTCCACCCTCCGAAATGAATGGAGGACGAAAATCGCATGCATGTACATGTGTATGCATAGCGTCAGTCGACTTGAGATTTTAGCTCCGATGTTCGTTTCAGGTACGACCAAAAACTCGTATGACCACTGACTTTCTTTCTCTGTTATCAAGCAGTATGCATTATTAGTAACCGTAATAACTTGTCTGTGTCATGTGCGTGTATTGTCTTTTTTCCTTTTTCAGGCTACAGCACAATCAGGACAACGAAATATACGTCGCAATCAAGCTATGTCGTTACCATCTTCTATGTGCCATGCATTACCTGATGTGCCAGCCTGCTATGTCGGATACCGCTAACCATGCATCGACTAGGCGCCAGGCGCGAACTGATGGTTGTGGTAGTGGTGGTGGTGGTGGTGGTGGTGGTGGTGGTGGTGGTGGTGGTGGTGGTGGTGGTGGTGGTGGTGAGAAGGAGAGCTCTGTGCCAGAAAAACTTTTCAGTTTAGAGAATGTGTGTGGGCAGGTGTGTATTTACCGCCGTATAAATCAACCACAGTACAATCAGCTGACGTTATAAATTATAAGGATGATCTCGTGCAGCGATATTATGATATTTTTTCAGTCTTTTCTAAGGACTCTCCACTGCAGCGTTTTACCTCCACTGGGTTCTCTTCTTTTCATCACTCAGCTTGCACTTGCAATGCTTATACATAGTTGATCAATCCCGTTCAATTTTCCGTGTATTTTTCTCAAAATCCATAGCGCGGACAAAGTAGTGATTTTCCGTACAAATATGGAAAATACGGAAGGTTGATAGCACTGTGTTGAGGCAGCTATTGTTGACTATATTTGGAATTAATTCTGTTGTATTTGCACACATTCCTGAGTGCATTGTATCAGCATCCAATGTGTGCTATCTGTGCAAGCTTCTTACCTTGTGAACATTCACCGAAGGTTCGGTTGGTGGCACACAGATCTTCCGGGATGGCTCTTTGGGGCTCTCAGCCCTGCGTTCACTGCATTAAACTTGGCAGAACAGTTCAAGTTTCAATTTAGGCCGTTTCCTCACTCTGTGACTCCCAATATTTCACATGTGTAATAATTATAAGTATTGTAGATCACTGGGACAGCGCCACTTTGTTAGCCGATGTTAGTCCTGAAGAAAAATTGACTTCATTGCCCTAAAGGTGAGGACAAATTGGGACTCTTTGTGAAGGAAAACTTTGGTAAATGTAATTTCGAATGTAAGTCATTTCGTTTATCTGTGTTGGTCCAATATTTCACAAAATTAATGTGCAATATAAGTATTGTAGATCACTGGGACAGGGCAACGAAGTTTGTCAAAGTTCGTTAGGAGGAAAAAATTAACTTCATTGCAATTTGCCCTAAAGGTGAGAACAAATTGTGACTATTTGTGAAGGAAAACTTTGGAAAATGTAATTTTGATTGTAAGTCATTTCGTTTATCTGGATTGGTCCAATATCAAATGTGCATTTTAAGTATTGTAGATCACTGGGACAGGGTAAATTATTTTGTCAAAGTTCGTTACGAGGAAAAATTTATTTCATTGCCCTAAAGGTGAGAAAATATTGAGGCAATTTGTAAAGAAAGGATTACCAAAATATATTATTACTGTCCTCATCTTAGGTGGTCAAAATGCCTCAGAGTTCGAGTGGCACTGGCAGTGCAAATCCAGTGAGTAAGCCAGTGAACAAGTGAACTCCTCAGCGATGGCCACAGATGGCTGTATTTTGGCAATGGAGATCGAAAGTCTGACCACGTTCTCGAAAGGACGAAGACGACGATTTCTCGCTATGTACGGATTTCCCGCGCGCTATGACCTACATGTACAATGTTGTACATAATTGTACATTGTAGGTCTAGGACTAGCTATGTGCGGACTTGTCCCACACCGAGCAGGTCGCAATATTTTGAATCGTTCAGTCGATCATGGTTGTGCACAAGTGACCCGCGTGTCGCCTCACATAATACGACTCCCTGCCCCTGGTTCAAGTGGACCGAATTGCGCGAAGTGGTTGTGAGGACTAGAAAAAAAGTTTCAGGACAAATGGAAAAAAAGAAGAAAAAAGGACTACAATGTAGGGCTGTGCAACGCCCGGCGCGTGCTTGAGTGACGCTGTGCGCATATGCTGCATGTACTGTCTGTAGTATTTGAGCAGCACGGACTAGTAGTCGGTTGTATTTTTTTCATTTGTCGAGCCTACAAAATTTAAAAATGTACAAGCTGGCATGGCATGCAAAGCAAGGATTTATTCTAACATTTTCATTTTTTACATAATAATAATGACATACAGTTTCCTCTGAGACAAAAATGCGATAATACTCATAAAAAGGACACACTTCAGGCTCATTACAAACATCTTGAAAGTTTTTGTCTTCACAAGTATACTTTCAAGCCTTCTCATCAGGTGAAATACAGGCAAGGGAAAAGGAACAGGAACAGTGGATTAAATACAGTAAGAAGGTGGTAAAACAGCGCAAAAAGAAAGAAAGAAAGAAAGAAGATAGCTAAAGTAAACAGCGAAATGACATAGATCATTATTATGTGCATGCATAGTCTAGACTCTACATCATGTACAGTCATGCATTTTCACCTTGGAGATTCCCATGACTCCGAGTCCCATGACCATGATGTAATGTTAGGCTAGACTTAGTCATGTCTTATACCATGTATACTATAGTTATACTCGCCTTTGGAAAATCAATAAAATGAAATTCTCATATCATGACATGAGCTGGTTTCCTTCGGAATAGGCATACAAGTAGTGTACGCAGAGTCTGTTCAGTGATGTGTGAGTAACGGTCAACGAACACTCTGCATTCCCAAACCTACGCGGAGTGAACAAAATAATTATGCTGATGGTACATTTACAAGAAGCGGATTAGTGAAGAAACTGCTGAGCACAGCGCTAATAATAATAATAATAAATTCGCGGGATTCGCGTTGGCACAGCGCTAGCCCTACCAATATCGCACATCATGTCCGTAACCGTGGCCTTGGCTCCTGACAATGAAAAGCAGTGCGAATCTATCTGGAGGGCAGCGTTCGCTACAGCTGACCCAACGGAGTACATGGCGCTAAATTCCACAGGATATCGACCTGTTTGTCCAGAACTGCCCAGCTACTGTAATACAGTATTGGACTGCGGTGCCCTGTTTGGAAACACTTCATTGGCGTGCATGTACGGATGGGATTTCAACCGATCGTGTGAGTTTTGGAAAGCTGGCGTGGCACTGAGCGAGAAAGACAGGCAGCACACACTGCTCAACAGGCGACTAAAAATGATTGGACTCGACGTCATGCCGCTGGCGCTTGACTATGCCAAGAAAATGAACATCCTGGACGAAACCATCGTGCAGGACTTCAGAGAGCGGATGCTGGATGAGACGCGAGCAGCGTTGCAAGAGTCAGACGTGTGGATCATCCAGCAGTGCATGCATTACATGCCCAAGGATACACTGAGTTGCTGGATGAATGTTTTCTTACAGGATCGCACTCGGCCGAAATGTTTCATGTACGACGCTCTCCCAGATTACGACACGCGGAACATGAAGCCGGACGCATTGCTGGAGGGTGTCACCAGCTACACACACACTGAAACGTCGCATATATATCGCCAGTGGGCGCCTGACGAGAAAACTGTTCACACGGGAGACGGTGGAGATGGAGAAGGCGATGACATGTACCTTTATTATTATGTAGTGAATTTTCAACCATTGGATTCACCCGCCTAATCAACCAGGGTGAGCGGGCCGGAAGCCTGGTAACAGTCTTATACAGTGTATGCCCGATTTATCCTAGCCCCGGTATTGATTTCTCCTCTATCGATCACAGTGCTTTCAATATTCATGCAATGGGTGGAAATAATTGGTATTATCTGCAAGCTGGGGACATTTGCCGTAACAAGTTGTCCTTTCACAAGAATTCTGATACCATATACCTGGCCCATTGTTTGGCTTTTGCTCGCTTCCGCACTCCGCTGTGATCTCCTTTCAGCCAAGCATAGCGCCGGCTTTGGTACCTGTTGTAGTGTGCCCAATTTTCATATTCGGAAGCTGGTGTACTTTTGAAGCAAACACTGCAACAGTAGATAACTAGGTTGATACTTCAAAATTTCCCGAGTTCCCTCGGCAGACGAGTAATGTAATTTATTATCCCGAAGCTTTCTTTTCTCTTTTTAGTGCTTTCTAATTCGAAGTATTTCTAAAACTTCTGCCAATCCCCCCCCCCCGAACCCATGACCCACAATACATTGTCGATATGGCTTCACTTCTTGGTATCATCGTGCATTCAGAGCATCCTGAGGAAAGGAGGACAGATATCCCCTTGTTCTGTACATGCCTATATGGAGTAAGTTCTGTAAGGATTGTTAGAATATACTGCGGGGTTGTATGCGTGCAGGGGACGTACTGCCTCCCTCTGCGTATCTTCATGATTGGGCATAAAATCTTCACCTCATTTTGGATCTTGGCCCATATATTATGGCCATCATCATGGGGAGAAAAACAACAGTATATTATGACAATATCCATTTTTTTTGCGGTTACGTCATCAATTAAGATGCTTTGGTAAAGCACCACGGCACAGCAATGCACTAGATGAGGCAAAAATGCCGACTCGTGCCGTATCCTGTGTGCCCATAAGCGAATCCGCTACTTCACCACCATGACATCGTTTCCATAAACTCAGAGAGAGGCTTTATCTACTCACAAATAAGTATACAGATTTTAAAGAAAAAGTAATAATTATGAATATGAAAGCGCCAAGTTGAGTTGCAAAGAAACATGTTAAAAAATAATCTCAGGAAAAGCGGAAAAAACATTTTGTGGAAATTCTTGTAAAGCATAGAGATTATCCCTTGATATAACCAATTTACAATCACTTCACAAAATACATTATACTTCAGTACCGGTACTGTACATGAGTATGGCCTATGCACACTATAGACCAAGACATTGTTACACTTGGTGGACAAGACTGAGTTGCAGCACTCGTCACTCAGACTGACAAAAGTTGATTTTCACCATAGCTAGGAGTATACGCGGTCAGGAAAATGATTGTCACTCAGGATAAGGCCTGGCCCCGCGCACTCAGTAGAGACAGTACCTCACATGCCAGCCCGCACACACTCCGGGCCTCATGCACCATAGGCATAGCCCCCATGCTCCTGCGTTACTCATCAGTGCCACATTGTAATGTTGCGGGGTTTTACTCCAGAGTACCTCCTACACTGCGGTGCACACAGCCTAGACCGTCACATTGTGCAGAGCCTCAGGAAAATCAACCCCCGCCAAACATTCACCACGCGGCCATGATCACCTTCGTCCGAATGTGTTCATAGTGGTCGCCGAGGTTCAAGAGAAGATTCCCCGTAGCTCTGCATGACGCGGTCTGTGCCCAGTGACACCATAGGATGCTAACCAACACCGCCACAATGCTGCTGATAAGGAAGAACACAAGCAAGGTGCACGCTGATACAGCATGTGCCGAGTCCTCAGCTACTTCTGCACATTGGAGCAAACAAAACCAAAAGAAGCGGTATAATTATGGTTGTGCCTGGACACATTGCTAAGGCTCGCACTGAATCCCACCCCCCCCCCCCCCCACACACACACCTGGTCCTGGTCCTGGTATACACTGCCATGTAGGTCATGTGTTTCTCGTTGAGCGAGACGGAGACGAGAGGAGACATGAGCGTTGGTGACGGGATAAGTCGTTTCGCCTTTTGAAACGCCTCTGGCAATTCTGACATTGCAATTGGAACTTGTCCCTTTCATCAGCAGTTGGGCTTCTGGTGGATCGGTTGCAGTTGTGGATAGCAAAGCTCCGGATCGACTTACAGCAGCGTTCACAAATGGGACAGTGAGCGGTACAGCACGGTTTTCGAATACATAGGCGTACAGGTGAAGAGCTTGTGGCATTGGCAACATTCGGGGCAGAATTGGACTGGACACAGCGATGGACTGCAATGCCACCCGCACTCCGAAACCATCGGTGACACTGGGAGCACTGGCGGCTGTTGGCTTGCTGCTGGACTGGTTTACGCCGTTCCATGATGCACTTGTGGCGGGCGATATCTTGCTGCCGAGCAAATGCACGCCGGCACACCTCGCAGACTATCTCCCGAGCCGGTTTCTGAGCTGGTTGTATTGCTCGATAAGCTTGCCGCCACTCAGATCGTTCCTGCGCTGTGTCAAACCATGACTCGTCGGCACATACACATAGTACAGGATCCGAAGCTCAAAAATAAAATTGGGTCTGCCACTTCACTCCGAGTATTTGCCGCTTTCAGAGCTGATAGGTGATGGTAATAGAAGGTCAATTTTGTTTGTTGGCCCTTCTGAATCGGGGAAGGAGACGAGCGGCGAGAGGGTTTTCGTCGACGATTTCGCAAGCCTTCTCAAGCGTTCTCAAGGAGGTCGCAAATTTATTTTCGCCGTGCGTCCGTACGCGCATGGCTTGAGCATGCACACATTGCGCACCCACGACAAACATTTGAATTTAGGAAATGACGACGCCGTAGAAAATGACGACGCTGGCCGGGGAACTAATTACTTACTTATTTGAGGAAGCACGAGGTCTTTCAATTTCAATCCCACGCGAGTAAGCATGGAGGAAGACGAGAATTGTGCCTCCTGTGCACAAAGTCCAGGTAGTGTTGGGCATTTAGTGGCTTCAGCCAGTACTCAGGTTTCGGAAATTTCGTGGGGCTCATGTTTGTGCCACTGTGTGAAGATCGAAGGAAGCGAAAAGGAGGAGAAAGTAAATTTCACGAACACCAGCTGGTCTCGAGTGGTATCTGCTGCCAAAATTCGCCAGGACGGCACATGGGCCTTTCTCTGCCAGGAGCAGTGTAGCACGGATGAGAGCACCCCGCGTGGCTGGTACCATAGGCGCTGCTATGCAGCCTACACCCACAAGAAGACTCTGAGTCGTTTTGAGGGAGAGGAGAGTGGTGGCCTTGTCAGCAATGTTGACGCAGAGGAGGTGGGTGACGCAGATGCCTGTGAGGATGAACCTCCCAAGAAGCGTGTTATGACACGAAGCAAAGTGACAACCATCGACATCACTCTGTGTATAATATGTCAACAAAAAACAAAAAAAAGAACCGGAAAGCTGAACCGCTTACCCTCTGTTCAGAATTCCGTGCTGGCGAAAGCCTGATCCGTGCGGCAAATGCACGTGGAGATGAAGCAGGCCAGCGGATTTTACTTACCCTCCAGGAGGGCAGTCCCGATTGTGTAGCATCGGACATATGCTACCATTTCTCCTGCTACCGTAACTACACTCATTCTAGCACGGTGGCAGCACTGGAGGCAAAGAAGACGACGGCAGTTGCAGAAGACAATGTGTACGATAGAGCCTTTGAGTGGCTAGCTGTATGCATGGAGAAGGAGCTCTTCAGTGAGACAGAAATACGAGCGATGCGTATGGACAGCCTGACGTCCAAGTACAGCGCCAAGCTGGCAGAGCTCGGAGCTGCAAGTCAATACCGACGATGGCTGCTGAAGAAGCGCCTGTTGGAGCATTTTGGAAAACGCATCAACTTCGTCCGTCCTGGTCCATTGTCACCCGAGAGCGTTGTAAGCAGCTCCTTGACAGAATCACAACTGCTACAAATAGTTGGTGCAGCAGTAGCCAAGGCTGAGGCAGCCCAGCAGTGCGCCGACGAATATGCTGGAGATGATATGGCGGATGAAGATGCACCTCCAGCTATTGATAGCAGCTGCAAGGTACATGCCTTCCACACAGCCATGGCTCTGAACAACGCCATCCGTGATCAGCAGCCCACAATACCCACCATGCCACATGCCAGTGATATCGTAAATGAGAATGCGCCAGTGCCAGACATCCTCTACAATGTGCTTGCCATGACCATTGTCGGCCCTGAGAAGTGTGACATTGGTGACCTGACGGACTCCCGTGTCCATGTCCCTGCCGACATCCATTGCAAGATTTTGGCAATTGCTGAGGATATTGTGTATGCTGCAACTCGTGGATCTATTCTGACACCAAAGCACGTAGCTTTGGCGCTTACTGTCCACCACCACACGAGGAGCAAGCACATGGTGGATCTTCTCAACCAGTTCGGCCATGGCATATCGTATTCAAAGCTGCGAGAAGTAGAAACCGGGTATTCTCTCGAAGTAGCAGGAAGTTCCGCAGCCAGCAGTGTTGTAGTACCCCGTGGCATTTCGCAGCATGGAGGTGATGTTCATTTCTGCTGGGACAATAACGACCTCAACGAGGAAACTCTGAGTGGCCAAGGGACGACACACTGCACCAACGGCATTGTGCTCCAGCACTCGCTGCCCTTCCAGGACGATCCGTGTCCACCAGAAAGTACGAGCCGTGCCGAGCCAGGTAACCAACGCCGACCGCGAAGTGTTGCCCCACCTGCAGTTCCGAGCCTAGAATACAACTGCGGTGCGAGACCAAGACCTCCTCCAATGGCCCATCCAGTTCCTGATGCACAAGGCTCGATTGACCCATTTCTCACTGTGGCATCGATTGACCTGATTTGGTTCTTGTTGCGCGCAGACCAGACGGTATCACCGAAGTTTGGTAGACCTGATGACGAGTCACAACTGGTACCCGCATGGTCCGGCTTCAATGCTGAACTGAACCAGTCAACCGCGCCAGGGACACCAACAACAGTCGGTTACCTGCCGATCATCCCAGCATCGCCTACAGCCATGAGCACAGTTTATGAGCTTGTTGTCCGGTCCCTCCGCACATCGAAGAAGCTGAATCAGCCACATTGTATCATCACCGCCGACCAAGCAGTTTATGCCAAAGCTGTGGAAGTTTGCTGGAAAAATGCTGAGCTGAAGGATGTAGTCCTCCGCATGGGTGCATTCCATACGTCGTGTGCCTTCCTTGCTGTTCTTGGGAAGAGGTTTGGCAGTGCTGGCTTGGAAGACCTCCTCGTCGAGTCAGGCGTAGTTGGCAGCAATGCGTGCAAGCAGGTGATGGCCGGCAAGCATTACAACCGCGGTGTTCGCCTCCATAAGCTTGCCTTTGAGTGTCTGCTGGGAGTGAACTGGAAGCTGTACGAGGACAGCATTGAAGGTGAGGGGACAGAAACATAGGAGTTGTGCTGCAAACTTTCTTTATTGCATTCCATCTGTGCACACTAGACGAAGTGAAGTAGTTTGAGAAATGGTGCCTGTTGTTCTCACTCCAGTGGTCTGCATGTAGCACTTTGTGTTCTAATTTTCTGACCTATGTACATGTGCGTGTGTGTTCATGTATTGAAGGTGGAGGAGACACGGTGTCAAGCGATCTTGAAGGAACTTTGTCAGCATTGCGCACATCTGGTATATTTGATGGTGCTGAGTCAGTAACCAGTTCATCCAGCTACCAGAAACTTGAGCAAGGGTACCGAAAGCATGTTCAGCTGCAACGCACCAGCCCAGCATCACCCATGGCCCAGTTTTGGCTAACATACCTCGACATGGTTGGCCTGCTGCTTCAATTCATCCGAGCTACGCGGACAGGGAACTGGTCGCTACATCTGGCATGCATAGAGAACATGTTGCCATGGTTCTTTGCATACGATCGACAGAACTACTCCAGGTGAGATGCTTGGGCCCTTCATTAAGTTATCAGCTGTGTGACCGACGCAATTAAAACATTTTGCTTCAAATACGAATCATTCAGTTCTCCTAAATTGAGTTCTCATTACATTGTGCTTCACAGGTACCTGTCGCTGTATTGGCAACAAATGCGTCAACTGCCTGCTACCAACCCTCCTGCCCACAAAGCCCTATCAGGAGGTTGCTTCTCTGTTGCAAGGTCTACGAACAGCTTCTCGAAGGTGGCTGTTGATCAGTGCATTGAACAGACCATCAACCGGCAAAGCAAGTCACATGGAGGACTCATTGGCTTCAGCCGCAACCCAGGTAAGGGCAAAAATTCGTAACAACTGACCAAACTTCAAAATTAATTATCCAATAGAACATACATGTACACTGATGGGGAGATACTTCCTGATGATCCCACATGCAAGATCAAACAGTAAGCAACCAATGTACACTATGCAAACACAGTGTGCTGCCCACCTGCATCACGAATAGGAAATGATTCGACTCTAATGTGATCCTGAACAGTTGTGGATTACATGTACATGATGATGTATTTCTCCTTCCCTTTTCTGTATAATTGTCCTATAAAGGAACTGTTCACCGCTGGGTGCTCACAGCTCACGAGCGAGCAGCTGTTGCAAGTGCATGTAACGACCTCGTCAAAGCGGAGGACTATGATGGCACAGCACGTCCACACAAGGACAACACAGACAGCAGAATGAAACGGGATCAAAGCGACTATGGGAAGCTCGAAAAGCGGTTGGCAGAGTTCAGCCATCCGTTCCTTGGCGAAGATTTGATCAGCCTCTCCAGTGGGAAAGTCTGTTCTGCTCAAGCAACCTCCGATCTCCTATCCAGTCACACGCAGGGAAAGAGTGCAATGAGCAAGTTCGTGGCAGACCGCTTGGAGAGTCAGG